TGATTAAAATACAGACTGCACATGACATCAAATTTGTAATCATTTTTCCACAGCAAGCAAGCGTTTTCTGTATTGGATGCAGGTGTTTAAAGCAATAGTGTGTTTTAAGGGCCAGTGCAGCACAAATTCTGGCCTTTGGGATAATGACAAGTGTTTTGCCTGCATAAACAATAATATATTTCCCCCCCCCCGCTCCCCGCCCCGAGGTCCGCACACACCTAGTTTCCCTCAAGCTCATCATCTCTGTCAGGTTAATCAATAGGCACCGTATGGCAGAGGGTCAGTAATCAGTGTCATCGTGCCTTTAAATCGTGTTGAAAATTTGCTTAAAGCCTGGGCCAATTAACATCGAGATGATGAATGGATGGGTAGATGGGAAGAGCCTGGCGCTCAGGGGCTTTGTGAGAAGGAGATGCTCAGCTGTTGAGCAGCAGACACCAGCGAATAAAATCAGCCATTCATGTGAGCTCAGTCCACCCACTCTTAATGATAATGTCAATCTAGCAAAATATATACACATTGGAGTTGTCATGAGTTCATAAATCAAAGGAGTTTGTCAAAGGCATTCAGATTAACGAGGCAGCAGCAATAACAAGTCAAATTTGCATAGAGAATTGCCCGAATCTCAGTAAATTATGATCCTGTTTTTCATTTGATTATTTGCTAATGTCTCAAGAGGGAGAATGATTATATTAGCATGCAAAATCTACTCCAGAAGTAGAAATCCGAGGTATAGCAGACCAGCACACGATGACAATTAATCAGTTTCTGCATACTAGCATAAACGCGCAAGGCCCAGAAATGAACTCCTTTTTTTATTATTATTTCTCCTTGCTACTGATCCAAATGGTTCAGCTTGACAGAGACTTTATATTGCTTTAACAGTGTTCTGAATTGTGCCTGCAGGCAAGACATAGTTATGCAGCTATAACCAACCTATCCATCTGCCAACCAGATTGGAATTCTCCTATCCAAGGCTTCCATTAACCCCCACTGACAGCTCCAAACAGGATTAAGAATTTGAAAGCATAAAAAATAGTTGTGCTCTTCGCGTAGACATGCGCTTCTCCTCCACCCCCACCTCCCCCCACTTGGAAAAAGGCTGTCTGTACTGTTTTATAATTAGTGCAGGGCAGAACAGCACCAAAGAAAGCCTCCCCCAGTTGGCAGGGGTTTGATTTCCACCACTATGAGCGAGGCGGTACTAAAGGTAGCTCTGCCCAATTGGTAGTCCCTGGGAGTGCATTTCTCCATGTATTATATCTCATTCCCAGCAGTGTTTTGCTGGGCTGTGTACACAAAATACTGCATGTCATCTCCCATCAAACGCTTCAGTCTAGGGATTTCGTATGCATTGTGGCATGTCGTGTTTAGTGGTGGAGGAGGCTTCATGGGGAGAGTTAAATAGTAATAATTTTGTAGTGGTCTTTAAGACAACCTGCCATGGAGTTATATTCTGTTAATTACAGGCTGAAGTTTTAAATGCAAATCAGATTTAAAAGCATCTCATTACAGACAGTAGCCATTTTAGGAAAAATGAGCTATGGAGGGCAGAGCCCCTTTACAGGAACCTCCTGCTAGAGACAAATTGTGAAGGTTAGAAGAACTGTGAGCTTGGGTTTCCCGGCTTTTCTTCCCCATGCTTCCACTGTCATTGTGTGACCTTGGGCATATAAAAAAAAATATTTTACCTGTCTGTGGAAAGGTGGGGGCAGTATTTATCTCACCAAGATTGATCAATTTGTGCTTTGGAGACTTCAGCACTTCTCATCTTAACTTGCTTGGACTTGTTCAAAAGGAAAGACCCCTGCACGTGAGCACAAACACTTTTGGCTGGTTTGGCTTTAGTCTATGAAGGAAAGCTTGCCTGTGGGATTTAAAAATTTTCCCTGATAGAAAGGACTTTTCAGCTTTCTGTATGCACTGGCTTTCTTCACTTCTTTCACCCTAACAAATTCCATCATTCCTCTACTACGTATCGAGTACAGTCGCTGCAGATCTTTAATATTCCCAGTGAGTACACCCAACTTACCGTCTGGACACCAAATGCTTCTTTCCAGGTCTGTGCCCGAGACGTGTATTTCGGTAGCCACGAGAGGGTGCTCAGAGCTATTCCTCCCTTTGTCTGCCTCTCTTGCGGCCGAGAGCATCACTGAAGTCCTGCTGAAGCAAACCTTATTCTGACCTTGCACGTGTTTATCCCTCCTCCCACCTTGTTCAGCAAGGAGAAATATATAGATGTACCGTTTCAGTCAATTACGTTACGCTCTTCCCATAACCATGGCTAAGTGTTGCCCTATCAAGTGAAATTCACTTCCACGCAGCTACAGTTAGTCCTGAAATACGCAGGGTCTTGTACCTGCACCCGGATTGATGGGTTTCCTATTCCTGAGAAATGAGCGGGAGTTATAAACATCTGTGCTTTTTCTTAAGCGTAATGCTTTCCAGTCATTCCGTCTTCACCGAGCGTAACTTACTTGCCGACAAAAGTGCATGAGCAGCGCTCCTCTTTAATAGTCTGCTATCGGAGCTGCTGTGTTGGTGCTGTAGAATGGTGAGACGCCAAGCTGTGAACCACCATATGCACTTGGCAGTCTTTGTCTGGTCTTTGTTCAGCCAACCTCTTAGCCTTGCCACCTATAAAGATAATGAATGCAAAATGGTCCTCTGCTTGCTCTTAAAAGAAGATGCTCAGCTTAAAGAAAAAGTAGATAACTTGATGCTTTGCAATAACTAGGAATTTCAAAATGAGGGCTGACAGTTCACCAGCAGCACTGATTTTTCCTGCTTTTTCATGTTTTTTGAGGGAGGATCCTTAATGGCTTTAAAAGGCGAGAAGAATGCAAGATTTCACTGATATAGGAAGATTATTTGGAAGGGGAAATTGTTTTGGCACTTATTGTAGGGAAGGGGGTAGATGTTGAAAAAGTATCCCGAAATAGTAAACAACCCCCTCACTCCCCCAACAAAACATTTCTTGGAAATGTATAGTAACTCACCTCAGATTCTTACCTTTCTCATACTTTACCTTTTTCTCCAAAGCACAAAAATTAGAATCCTTACTTGAATTAACTACTTACTAAACTGTATTTCAATGAGTAGAAAAGAGCAGCTTTAATATCTGACCTTCCTTTTTGGAGATACGTGATTATAACTTGTATGTTTTTACAATCACAGTCCTTTCTAAGCTGGATTTAATGTAGTTACTTGGTCCTGGCTGAGACCTCATATGAAAACTTTTAAAAACTGGCCTTTTACAGCGATTTATCAGGCCTGTTTAAAATTGATTTCCATTATAAACCCCTGGTTACAGCATCCCAGCTGTCATGGTGCCTTGCAAGTTCTATATCTTGTTTTAAAAAAAAAAATCCAAAATCAGTAGTTGGTCTGCAAGCCTTGATTTACGCAGAATCCCCCTGACCAGTTTATGACATTCCAAGTGGGGTTTTTCTGTTGTATTCCCCCTCCCCTTATCTGTCATTTCTCAGCAAACAGCTTCTACCCCTGCCCTGCCTCCTGGCTGTACCTTTTCTTCCCCTTCATCAGACCAGCAAACCTGAGCTGCCTAGACGGTGCCTGATCACGCAGCACTGCAGTGGGCACACGAGCACACTGCTCTTCTGATGGCTTCCCGCAGCCTGCTTGCTTTCTGCTAGCCCTCCTCCTCTGCCACGCTGGCTGTTTGCAGGGCCCAGCTCCTCCTTTGCCAACAGATGCCACTTCTGTCTCCTGAGGCGTTGGGCTGGAAGCTGGCTCTGCAAGAAGCCGGGCAGAGCCGTGCTCAGCGAAGGACAGGTTATTTGGGGGACGAGGGGAGAGAGGTACAGAATGCAAACTTCTGCCTTAATACACACTCGTGAGCTTGTCTGCAAGTAACTGGAAAACCACCCTTTTCCTGGCAGAGCTCTCCCTAAGCAGTTTTTCTGTATCTCTTTAAAACCTGTTTAGTTGCTCACTACTGAATGCGTGAGAATGTGGCCTAAGGCTATGAATACTGTGGTGATCAAACTGATTTTAGATGTGTGTGTGGGATTCCCCCAAAGCTGGCTGTCATTACTCTATCAACAGCAGTGGATGAACCCATGCAAAGGAACACCGTCTTCCAGAGTAGCTGACTTTGGCAGTGAGGATAGGATTCTCCCCACGTATCCAGCAGTTTTTAACCAAATGTTTGCTACAGACTATGCATGTCCTAAGATAACTATCGCCTGTCTTTAAAGCAGGTAATAATCAGTTTTAATTGTGAAGTTAACAGGACAAAAGTCTCCCAGTCATCTTACTCATGCTAGAAAAGCCCTCGTATTTCTTCTTGTCCACCTTTTCTTGTCCTACTGATGCTCTTTTTTTGGAGGTTGCAGCTTAAGTTTTGAAGCTTCGGTCTTTCTAGAAATTGTATATTTATGTAGAGTCAGGAGGCAGGAGTGAAAAACATAGCCATACAATTATACCTACACAATTATATTTTTTCAAAGGATATCCTGATAACCTCTTTCACCAGAATTTAACTCTATCATCATTTCTTTATGATTATTGGCACCCAAGAAGACTCAGTGCAATTAATAATTATTAGGCAGATTAAAAGCATAGGGGCACAGAGAACAACAGTTGCACCCATTAACAATCTTTTGTTTTCAACAGGTTCCACTGTTTGAAATAGTTATTTTGGGGTGTTCAGGAGCACTGGTGTTGCCATGCTCATCCAACCACCATTTCAGCTTTTCAAAGTGGCTGTTATTGGTGGTTTCAGAATAAATCCCCAAAGCACAGGCTTTTTCAGTAGATACCTGCACAGTGGTGCATTGTTGTGTTAAGGAGGAGAAATTCTTTCTCTGCCATAACAAGCTGTTTGGCTTAAAAGTACAAGTTAGCCTCCGGTATATGTACGGTACGGCGTGCGTAAAATACTACAGCCTGTGTAGTACAAGTATTCTGTTTCTTTTCTCTCGCAGAGTAATATTAGGGATAAGAACTGAATTAAAGCTTACTTTCTTTCACAGAATTCCTCTGAGAGAGAAGACTGTAATAATGATGAGCCCCCTAGGAAGATCATTCCTGAGAAGAATTCACTTAGACAGGTATGTGATCAGTCTCTTTAAAAATGCAATAAAACTTTCTAGCTATTTGAATCCTTAAATGCTTCTGGAAGCTGAAGTCTGACGTGTGCTCATGCAAACCCTTTCTGTTTGCCTTTGAAGTCTGAACAAGTCACACTGTACCCAGGAAAATCAGGCACAGAGATTTAGCTTTCAGGAGAGTTTGATGACTCTAAAGAAATCTAGGCTTCTGTATAGTGCAGTCAGCTGTGACTCTCTAGTTTTACCTTTCTCCATTTGGTGTTCATCAAGACCTCTTCAGCCTTTTCTTCTGTAATTGTTCCTGTCTTGTTTGTAGTATATTTTGCCTTGCTGTAGATCAAGAGTCTCAAAGTGTTCTACAACAATTAAGCTTTTCTTTGCCCTTGAAGGTAAATTTTCTTGGAGGTGATGTCCAGGTTAATAACCTGAAAAATGACCTGTTCTTGTTTCTTCTACAAGCATATAAATTACTAATGGGTACAAAGGAGAAAGGGTGGTCTGATAAAAGACAATCTCTTTGCCTTTTATATATAGTAAATTTCTTTCCAATTCAAAAGAATCACTTTTTTTTAATCCCCACGGTCAACAAAGAGAGTCTGGCTTGTGATTTCTGGGGGATTTAAGTTGGATTTAGTGATTTCAGATCCTTTTTCACCTTGTTCTTTCTCCCCACTGCAGCGTTCAGGCAGCAGAAGCAAAAATAAGTCTGTGCCTCAGCTGCCCAAGGTTGCTGCCTGGTGTATTGGAGTAAAACCACTGATGAACCTTACTTAAGTGAATACCCCAGGCCACACATTGCAACAGTTGAGAAAAAGCGTCGTGGTTTTGCCCCAGCTGGCACCTAAATATCACTGCTCACTTGCTCCTCTTGCCCCCAGTGGGATGGGGAGGAGAATTGGAAGAAAAAGGTAAAACTCGTGGGTTGGGATAAGACAGTTTGATAGGACAGCAAAGGAAGAGGAAAATAATGACCACAGTATTGCTAATAAAAGAATATACAAAGCAGGTGATACATAATGTAATTTGCTTACCCCTGGAGGCTGATGCCCATCCCATCCCTGAGCAGCAACTCCTCCTCCCCGGCCAGCCTCCTTTCTGTACTGTGTGGCTGCTGTACTGTGTGGCTGCTGTTTCTGGCGTGGGCCATGCTTATGGTCTGCGGGTTGAAGATGTTGATTTCCAGGAGGCTGTTGGGCGCTGGTTGCTGAAGCCATTTCTAGTTCCATCATTGCTGTGCTTTTTCTTGGTTTCATCAAAGTTCATCCTTCATTAATTTGGGTGATTCTTGTTTCCCCTGGTGCTTTCTTCCAGAGATTCCAGGTAGGGCCATTCTCCCTGGCTGCAGTGTAGAGTGCATTTTTTACATCTGGTTCTTCCCAGACTGGCCCAAGGGCTACTGCATGAATGATTTCTTGTTTAATTTGTTCAAAGGCTTGTCATTGCTCAAGACCCCATTTGAAATTGTTCTTCTTCCAGGTCACTTGATTGAGAGGGCTTACAGTCAGACTGTAATTTGGAGTATGTATCCTCCAGAAACCCACAACACCTAAGACATCTTGTGTTTCCTTTCTGCTAGTTGGTAGAGACATAGCTGCTGTTTTGTTGATCACATCCATTGGGATCTGATGATGCCCATCTTGCCATTTTATTCCTGAAAACTGGATCTCCTGTGCAGGTCCCTTGACCTTATTTTGTTTTATGGAGAAACCAGCTTTCAGAAGGATTTGAACTATTTTCCTCCCTTTCTCAGAAGCTTCTGTTGCTGTGTTGTCCCATACGATGATGTCATCAATGTATTGCAGATGTTCTGGAGCCTCACTCTGTTCCAGTGCAGTCTGGATCAGTCCATGGCAGATGGTGGGGCTGTGTTTCCACCCCTGGGGCAGTCGATTCCAGGTGTATTGGACACCCCTCCAAGTGAAAGCAAACTGTGGCCTGCACTCTGCCGCCAAGGGGATTGAGAAAAACAGATTTGTGGTATCAGTTGTGGTGTACCACTTGGCTGCCTTTGACTCCAGTTCATGTCCAGCACGGCAGGACTCGGCAGCGGTGTGACTTCATTCAGACCACGATAGTTTGCTGTCAGTCTCCATTCTTCATTAGACTTTTGTACTGGCCATACAAGACTGTTAAAGAGTGAGCGGGTTCTGCTGATCACACCCTGACTCTCCAGTTGACAAATCAGCTTATGGATGGGAATCAGGGAGTCTCGGTTGGTGCGATATTGCCGCTGGTGCACCGTTGTGGTAGAGTTTGGCACCTGTTGTTCTTCGACCCTCAGCCCCACGGCAGAATGGTCCTCTGAGAGACCAAGCAAGGCATATAGCTGTTTAATTTCCTCTGCTGCCAAGGCAGCTGTGCCAAAAGCCCACTGGTACCCTTTTGGGTCCTTGAAATACCCTGTCCTGAGGCAGTCTATGCCAAGGATGCACAGACCGTCTGGGCCAGTCACAGTGGGGTGCTTTTGCCACTCATTCCCAGTTAGTCTCACTTCAGTCTCCAGTAGAGTTAGCTGTTGGGATTCCCCTGTCACTCCAGAAACACAGATGGGTTCTGCCCCTTCGTGGCTCGATGGCATGAGGGTACACTGTGCACTGGTGCCACTAGAGCCTTGTACTCCTGTGGGTCTGACATGCCAGGCCATTGGATCCTCACAGTCCAATAAACCTGGTTGTCCCTTGCCTCCACCTGGCTGGAGGCAGGGCTCCTCTAATCCTGGTCATCATATTTGTTACTTCTTGTAAAAATGACTTAGAAGTCCCTTCAAGAGGATCATACTTACGATCAGGCTTTCCACTCGGTCTGGGGAACTGCCCACTGGAAACTGGAGCGGCATTTTTCTGGAAGAACTTCCTTTTGTGATGGTTTTTTGTTGTAATTCACATACTCGTGCCTCTGGGATTGAGGTTAGGTTTTCTGTCCCACTTCCTCATGTCCTCTCCATGGTCACACAGGTAAAACCACAGGATGCCTTGTGGTTTGTACGCTCTATATCTTCTCTCTTGAGCAGAGGAACGCTTACTTCTAATAGGTGAGATACTGGTCTGTGCAGGTGGGGAATAGGATGTACTCTCTTCGAGTTGCTGGACCTTCCGGGATAGTTTCTCCACAGCTGAGATGAGGGAGGAAGAGAGATTTTCTTCATATTGCTGGAGTCAGCCAGCCACTTCATCCACTGTTGATACCTCTTTGCCTTTCCAGTCCATTACTGCCAATGCGTTGATGTATGACAATGGCACGCTCTGCATAAGCTTCTGCCACATGGGTCGGGTACATTGGAGTTCATCAGGATCTGTGGGTAACTGCGTGTTGTCTGGGTCATAACAAACCATCTCCCACATGGCTGTTTCCCTCAGGTACTGGATACCTAGCTCCATGGTGTTCCACTTGCCTGGATGACATGCATCATATTCACTGAAGGGATACCTTTCCCTCACGCCCGACAGAAGTTGCCTCCAGAGGCTGAGGACTTGTGTCTTTTTTCCAATCACTTTGTCAGTGCTCCCTTCCCTAGACAGGGATCCCAGCTGCTTGGCCTCCCTACCTTCTAATTGCAGGCTGTTGGCCCAATTATCCCAACATTGGAGCAGCCAGGTAATGATGTGCTCTCCTGGATGGTGGCTGAAATCTTTTCGCATTATCTCGCAGCTCACTCAGGGACAGGGATCGGGTGATTATCTCTGGTTCTGTCTCTTCCTCCTGTTCTTGTGATGGTCCCAGTTCATCATCATCCCTTACTAAGCATACTGATTTTTTTGTGTGTTTCTTCTTCTATATAGGGCTGACTGATACCAGCACAGGTTGGTTTTTTGGTTCCGTTGCAATGCCTGTCACCAGGGTTCAAGTAGCCAGAGTTTCTGTCACTCTCTTTTCCCTTTCTTCCCCCGATGGTGCTGCCTAATATTGAGCAGTGTTTGGTAGATACTGGCACAATGTGGTAAGTTGTGCCTCTTTGGAATAGCCACAACATTTTCCTTTCAAATATTCTGCCACTTCATCAGGTTCCTGTAGTTGTTTGGGAGTGAAGTTCCAAACTACTGGAGGTGAGAAGTTATTCAGAGACCTGCCCATATTCTCCCACGTGCTATGCCACCCATGACTATCCAGCCTTGGGGCAGATCTCTGGGTCCTGTTCTTAAAACAATATTTTGTAACCCTAAACAAAACCTGAAACACATTCAGGAGACATAGCAATAAGAGCATGCTGGCTTCAACAACCCAAGGATATTCAAAATTGTCAAAAGCTGTAACCAGCCCCAGCCGGCAACTAAGCACCATGTGGCTGCTAGCTCACTCCCCGCCCCCTGCACCGGTGGGATGGGGAGGAGAAGTGGAAAAAAAAGGTAAAACTCTTTAAGTTGGGATGAAGACAGTTTAATAGGACAGCAAAGGAAGAGGAAAATAACAACACTACGACTAATAAAAGAATATACAAAGTGGGCGATACGCAATGTAATTTGCCCACTGCCTGCAACCCGATGCCCATCCCATCCCAGAGCAGTGATTCCCCCTTCCTGGCCACTGAACAGGATGTCATATGGTATGGAATATGCCTTTGGCTAGTTTGGGTCAGGTGTCCTGGCTGTGTCCCCTCCCAGCTTCTTGTGAAAATTCACTCTATTCGGCAGGACACCACGATTTTGTGCCTGTTGCAGAAGGAATTTTGGTTCTTTATGTAGACATAAATAAAGCTTTCTGAGCATTTTGGAAGCTCGGATTGCTCCTCTTCTCTCTTAGCAAGGGACAAGAAGCAGTGGGGAGTTTTCAAACTCTAGTTGCAGAAATCAGACACATATGCAGCCACATGCCCTTATAATCAATGAGTTGAACAATACTTATTGGAAAGATCTGCATCTCCTAGGAAGGTATGCAGAGTGGCTACCCTGTCTTACATCTGTCCATACTTTGTAAAAACATCTGACCTGCAAATGCTGTCAAAGTAATAATAAACAAAGAGTGCTTTCCACCTTAGTGGAAAGATGCTAACTTGGTAAATATTG